TACCAATCAATTTTTTAAAGTTGTGGTGAAAAATACATTCATACAGGATTTTGAGAGTCATTTGCTAGGTTAGGCTCCCCACTTGTCAAGAATCTATTTAGAATTGCTCCTTGAGCCTTATTTAATTGCTGTGTCTTCAGATTAGTGAGTGACCTTGAGGAAGTCTTTTAATCTCTCAGAGCCTCAGTTTCCATAAAATGAAGATTATCTTTCAAGTCTCCTTTATGATTTGTGGTGATTTTTAGTTGAGCACGTATGCTAGCTCCAGTTTTGCTGGAAATGGGAAAATCAGTGAAGCCCAGAGATCCCTTTGAAGCTATTTGCATGCTTTTAGATGAGGTATTCATAACTTCCTTTTCCTTCAAAACTAAATGGTCTGTTTAGAATGACTTGGAGGATATAATTGACAGTGTTGAAGAGTAGGATATTGGTTCTTTGCGTTGCAGTCTTTTCATCAGTGGGTACGAAGGCTATTTAGAGAGAAATGTTGGAGGCACAAATAATTCGTGTTCTTAACATTTTGGCTCAGGTCCTAGTAAGATGAGTGTCTTGGATGTCTTTCATCACTTTTGTTGGTTTGTCTGTTTTATGAGATGTCTTTACGATCTTGTGAATGAAAGTGTGAGAGTCCAGCAGCACCCCTGTCCTCAGCTATATGGCTGTCACAGACCCAAATGGAATGCAGAGTCTCTCAGGATGTGTCTCTACAGGGAGCAGGCAGCTGGCTTTTGTAGCCCTTTCCTTTGCTCCACTAAGATATAACAGTTCTCTAAAGCCCCATTCATATTTCATCTTTTTCAAAATATTTCTGAGGTCATCCTCATTGGAAGTGCCCTCTGAACTCTTATGGTACTTAATACCTCTTTTGTGGCATTTGTATCTGTTGCTCTGTCTGTTGCTGTGTTCATGAGTCTCTCCTCTTGTAGACTGTGAGCTCCTTAATGACTGGAACCAAGTTAATTTCTTGTATTGTGTCCCACCCTATTGAGACAATCTTGGATATGGTTAGTTCGTCCTTCCTTTGTGTTCTCATGGCACATTTGCAGGTCAACCTCTCCCTCTTATTGACTTGACTTCTGAAAGGCACAGAGTATGAGTTGTTCAGTTTTGTATTCCTGATCCTTCACATATAGGCCCTGACAAATAGCTGCTTAATTCATGTTTAGATGAATGGAAGAGCAAGTAAAGCTGTAGTTGACCCAGTGAAACACTGGAATATCTACATTTGTATGATTTTTGCTGCTATAGACATCTCCTGGAAGTATGATGTATTGCCCTCTAAACCATCAAATGTGTTGATGACACATAGAAATCGTCTACTTCAAATATTATTTAAATGATGTTCTTCCATCAGAGCCTTTCAGCGAAAGAGCCTCAGGCTACTCTTCGTTAGAAGATTTTAGGATGCGCAGGCTGGCAATGCAGCATATTGTAAGAAGGACGGCTTGAATTCAAGTCTCCCCTCTGCTGCTTAGGAATGATTTGACCCTGTGGAGGTCACTTCAGCACTCAGAGATAGTTTCTCATCTGTAAAGTATGAATAAAAACAATATCTGATTGCCTGTGCCTCTCTCTTCTCCCAGGCTTATTGGGAAAATCAAATGATACCATGCATACACAAATACTTCCAAAACCATAAATCACCTTATGAAGGGAATATACTATTACGTGTTATGAAATAGGGTGACACCCTACGGTTTTAACACTTACATTTTTTGTGGTCATATAAAATAGATAATCCAAACTATAATTAGAACAGTTGGCTATTACCCAAACAGGGGCCTCAGGTTCCACCTGTTACACCCACATCCTGCAAAAAAAAAGGATAGGAATGCCCAGTTAAACACAGTTTCTTTATTGCCACGCTAGTTCTTTTTCTAGATGGAAAATGAATTTTATGCCCAGAGCACACACTACCTTTTATTCGCCATACTCTTGCCTGTTCCAGCTTCTCCATCCCCTTCTTTCTCACCCCCTCACTGGTCCGCATCTTTACCTGTGACACTTTCTTTTGCCGGCTCGATGGTAGAATTTTCAGATTCTTGAGACTTGTCTTAAATTTTGCCTTGTTGTATGCTCTTGCCCCCCACTATGCTCTTTGTATTCCTTTTCGTGCCACGTGGTCTCTCTCTCAAAATCTACTGCTGGGGACAGAGTTAGAGATGAATGGCTAAAATTTTGGATTGTGGCCTGTGTTTAAGAAAGGGGGCTGGTGGTGGTGTTTTCTGAATGCTCCCTACTTAGCAATGATGATGACTTTTATATTCAAGTAACTATGTCTTTTCAGCACCATACATATCAAAACTTGTGTTACTTCCCGGCTTCAAGGAATAAGTCCTCCATAGGTTTATTTAAGATTCCTGGATAGTCAATTTGGCAAAATTTGTGTCCAAAACAGGAACTCTTTGAGAGTTCATATTGATTTGTGAGCAGCAAAATCTTTAGAGCCTTGTCTAAAATGAGACGTTTGTGTTTGGATTTATGACTTGATTGTTAGGTTGACTGTTAGGTTGATTCTTAGAAAATAATAATGCAGGAGCTCGAAAGATAGGAGTTTCTGGTCTGAAAAGGTATGGTGTGTAGAAAGAGAGTGGGCTCTGGGATAAGACGGACAGAGTTTAAATCCTGGCTGACACGTCCTTGTTCTATGGATTTTCTTGGTATCTTTGTTGTTTTACTGTGATATCTGTTTCCCAGCATGACTATAAAAATTGGCTAAAATGGTGCTTCTTGATGCCCCACGTGATCTCTGACACTTGAGAGGCACTCAGTAAGTAGTAGCTTCCATCTCATTTAGTCAAGTGGAGCATGAGTCAGGGTTCTTTGCATTGTTAAGGGAAGTTCAAGGGGTATTTGGCTTGTGGTTCAGCTGGATCTCGTATTTAAATGGTGTCATTAAAGCCTCCTTATCTCCGCATTGCCTTAGTCCCTTCTCTCAGTTCTGCTTTTTTCTATGCTGGCTTCATTCTTGGGCAGTTTCCAACAAATGGTGGAAAAGGCAGCTGTTGTAAACTGCAGGTGTATACCATGAGGTCCTTATATCTTGGATTCCAGGAAAAAGAAAGCAGCTTTCTCATCTGTAGCGTGTGCCCACATAAAGACACCTGGTCTTCTTTGTGTTGTGCGCCCATCCCTGAATCAGTCATTCTATCCAGGGGCTGGAGTGCCCTGATTGGCCAAGCCAATGCCACGTGCCCACGTGTATGGATGGAGAGGCAGGACCACTTGGTTGACTACCCCGATAGAACCATATGGAGAAGAAGGCTAAGTAGTTCCCAAAGGTGTGTGAGGTAGGCAAATAGGTAAAAGACTTGTTCATTAGTGGTAGCGATCAGAGGTCGCAAAGACAGATACAGTGTACCCTGAAATTTTGTTCTCTGTGTGTGTGTGTGCCTGCGAGTGTGCTTTAAGGACTCCTTTGGTGCATTTTGGTTGTGTGTTATTTTAAACTAGAGTTCTTGAGGGGCTAGCTCAGTGGCGTAGTGGTTAAGTTTGTGCCCTCCACTTTGGTGGCCTGGGGTTTGGGGGTTTGGACCTGGGCACGGACTTACACACTGTTCATCAAGCTATGCTGTGGCAGCATCCCACAGACAAAATAGAGGAAGGTTGACACAGATGTTAGCTCAGGGCCAATCTTCCTCTCCAAAAAACCCCCCCAAAAATAAAAAACTAGAGTTCTTGAGCTGAAGCCCACGGTGAACTGTCGGGGATCTGGGAACTTCCTGAAATTGTATACAGCATTTTGTATATATGTATAGAAAAAATAGATTTTCTGAGTTAATGTTGTGCAAATGTGTTCTCCAATAAAGTTAATAGAGACTTTTTACTTTATAAAATTCTGCAAAAGCTTTGGCGTGTCCTCTGCAAAATGTTGGGAAAACGTTCGGAAAGGTCCTTTCACAACTGTTTCGGAAGATCAGCCGTAGATTCTCTTGGAGTTCTGCCACTTCCTATTTCTTCTAGTGGGACCTTTATCTTGAATGACATTTACCAAAAAGGAAAACATTCGTTTTTGAAATGTGGCTAAAATTATCTGTGTTTTGTAAGGTTTGAAGCAATTAATTTTGTGGGAGGTTTTGTGTTTGTAGTTGATAGCTTACCGATTATGGCGCATTCTGGTATGCACAGCTGCCAGGAGAAGCCAGCTGCTGACGTATTTCTTCTTGTTTCTCAGGCGTTGGAGCTGCTACAGTGTCCTGCCATTTTCTTCTCAGTTATAGAATCGTAGACAGAAGAGAGAATTCTGTTTCATCGAAGCCAATTCAAACATTGCAACCAGAAGGAAGGGCTTCCCTGCTTCCTCTAATTATATTCTTTAGCTTCTCAAAGATCAAAAGAATGGTTTACCCAGCAACGGGTAGAAACAATGGGGCTACTACACTCTCCTGTTTTTAGAGGATAAATCAGGTGGTTCTAGGTTTAGGAGTTTCTGCAGACTTTTATGCTATCCTAGGTCGAGAGCTTATTTCTTCAGGTTTCTTAAGTCACAGACTTTCCTTCCTCAAAATTAATTGTTTCCTCTGTGGGGATTTGACATGATGAGGATTAAATTGCTCAAATAAAGACAAGAACAGTGTGCTTCTAGAATGGATCCTCGGGTTCACTTCATTAGATATTAGAACTGGAAAGGATCTCGAAGATTCTTATCCTCCCTCTTTAAAGACAAACTGAGGCTCCAGCAGGCTGAGTAACTTAACCAGAGTCACAGAGCTACATCAGGAGCAGAGCTGGGATTAAGGTGTGGGTCTCCTTTCAAACTAGTGGTTTTTTCCCCAGCTATTCCCACATTTTTCTCAGGCAAAATTTTAACAAATTATCTCCAAAGCATTGTTTTCCTTATCACATAGCACAAATGTAAATGCCGAGGGCAAGAACCAAATTGGCCTTTTCCATCGTCATATGCCTAGTAGGAGCATTAATTAGTAGCAGTAATAGTAGTAATAATAATAATAGTAATAGCAGGAATAATCATCATCATCACGTCCATAAGAGCTTACCATGGCCAGATGTTATTCTTTGTCCTTTACATATATTTACTTATTTAATACAAACAACAACCCTATGGGCTGGGTACTATTATTATTTTCATTTTACAGATGAGGAAACTGAGGTTCAGACATATAGGGCCTAGAAATGTACATAGAAGGCACTTAGTAAATAATTGTTGAATCCTTAAAATTTCTAAAGTGCTTTCATAGTCATTATGTAACGTGATGACCCTTCAAGTGGGGGTATGATTCTGAGGAAATAGTAGCCCAGAGAGCTTAAGAGACTGAGGTTAGGAGGCTAGTCAGTGGCAGAGCGAGGAGCTACTTTGATCGTGACCTTCTGAACCTGTTAGTGTCATCAGTGGATTTCTACAGAAGCACATTCTAAAGGCCCGTGGCTGGGGAAACTCTGAGCCAGTGTCTGGTTTTATATTTACCCACAGGTTGGCCATTTCCAGCGTTCTTCATTGCTTTGCGTAGATCCAAATTTCTGTCTGGTATCAATTTCTTTCTGCCTGAAGGATTTCCTTTAAAGAGTGTTGGCCTTTGTTCTGCCACACAGTTGTTACTTGGGATCAATGAGCTCATTTTGAGGCCGCTTTTAAGCTTTTTCCAGAGTAGCCTGAGCCTAGGACCCTTTTAGAGACTCTGCCTGATGTTTTATGGAGTATGAGTTCTTTCTACTCAGGCTGGTGGGAATGCAGATTATCCCCAGCCCTGTGTGAACCCTAGGTCCACATGCAGAGCAGACTCAGCCGACAATGTGAGGGGACCCGTCTGTGGATTTCCAGAGTGCTAGTTGCCTCAGCCTCCCTGGACTTTTATCTCTTACTCCTCATCTCAGTAAGACCCCTGAACTTGGCTTGGGTTTCCTCGTCCTGCCTGGAGTAAGTTGGGTCAGTAGTGGAGCTCACCTCAAGAATTTCCCTCTTTCAGTTTCATGTATATTGTCCATTTTTCTTGTTATTTGTAGTAGGAAGGTAGTTCCTGTAGTAGTTAATCCTCCATGGATGGAAGTGGAAGTCCATGTCTTGTTTGAAGTTCCAAACATTAGCGTCCCAGGGGTAACTCTGTGTCACCTGTTTCTCAAGAACACAGACGTCACCCTCTGCTTCCTTTTACTTCCTCTCCTGGGTGCTCCATATTCAAGGGAATGTGGAAATTCCTGGTGAACTGAATTGCTTTTTGAAGCAAGCAGAATATTTGCTCTTGCCTGTTGAAAAAGAGGTGAAAAGCCGTTCACCCCCTCTCCTCACTCACGTCTGTCTGCTCACAGAGCTGGATAGAGTCTGTAACGTGGAGGGCTCATGCCAGGGCTCAGTCCCTGGGAAGGATCTGCGCAAGAACAAGGTGCACATGTGTTTTGTTCATCCTTGTGTCCCAAGACTGAACAGGGGAGTGGGGCACATTAGGTCCGTGGATGAACGAATGAATAAAAATGTATAAATTACCACACACACGGAATTGTGAATTTGGGATTCGTGTGTATGTGTGCGGGGAGGGGGTGATTCTTGATTGCCTGTGAATTGCACCAATGAAGAAAAACCAGTTTGACATGTATGTGGGGGATGTGTGTGTGTTCGTGTGTGTGTTTAGGTTGATTACTGTGGGCGTCTCAGTCCTGGTTGCTTTTCCAGTATGAGCAGGTATGGTTGTTAACCAGCATGCTTTTCCACAAAGGAGCTGGCTTTTCCCTTTTACGTGCCACCACCCAGTGAGGTGGGGCAGTGTTTATAAGAGGAGCCAGGAACCAGGTTAGCAAGAGCATTTGCCACAGCTTTGTTTACTGCTGAGGAAGAGGAGGGAGCCCTAAGGAAAACAGACCATCCTGGTTGATTATTCTTGTGGAATGCAAAGTGGTACCTGTAAGGTAAATGGGGATTTTAGGAGGAAAAACAAGAGATGTGGGGACAGGGGAAAGGTGATGGCACGGATGTAGAGATCACGGCTGAGTAAGAGTTCAGTGGTTCCTGTCATGTCTTCAGGTAGATTGAATGCTCCCTTGAAATGCAATGCCTAACTTTCTTGACTTTGTTATTTTGAGTTTTCTTTTACTGTTATACCACCTCTTATTTTGACCTTAATTTTCTTGTCTTTCTTTAAAAAATAGTGACCAATGTTTGCCTTTGTCTGTTGTGATCAGCTGTTGCGCTTCCGTGTGGTGCCCTCTTGTAAGTGATACTCTCCATTACTGTATTTGCGTGCTTATTGAAGGTTGGGTCAGAAGCCGTGAATGTAACAGGATCCACTGAGCTTTAGAGCTGGGCTTTAGGAAGCAGAACCGTGAGATTACTAAGCAGATTCGTTCCTTTTGGGTCAAACTTCCCAATGAATACCTAACAAAACTTCCTTAATTAGACGCTTTTAGTCTTTTACATAGTGTTGCTGGGGCTGCCTCCTGGAAAGTCGATGTCCTGAAGATAAAGATAGTGATATTTACTTCTGTAGCAAAAAATACAGTGGATTGGAGGGGATTCCAAATTGTACTATTTTGAAGAAAGTGAGCAGCTGTGCATTCTGTTGCTATGGTGATGAGATGGAATTGCATTGATATACAGTATTGTCTTTAGTAAATGGTTTGGTAGCTTCCCCTCCACTGCCCCACCTCTCCCATTCTAAATTAATCATGTTTAAAGGAAAAAAGTCTCTGCTCATATTGATGTTTTGCAGTTTAACAGATTGTTTTCATTTTGAGAACTAACAATTGTAGGGTTGGGTGTGGTGAAATGGAAAAGTGCAGAAATGAAAACATTCTGTAAACCAAGGTCAAAGTATATTCATTGACAGTGGACTGTGTTCCTAGGAGGACTAAATGGGACACTTAAGGACTCATTGCTTATTGCTTATCTCTGATTAACTGAGACAACAGATGGTTGTAAAGCACATTGAAAGTGCCTGGCATGTTGAAGAGAGCTGATAAATGAAAGTTAGTTAATTTTTTAAAAAGACTAGTTTACAAACAAATATTGCTAAACCTTTCTAAACTTTTAGAAACAGCTTGATAATTAAGGCAAAAAAATGTGGTCCAAGCCAATGTTAAAAAAAAAATCAGAATGAAAGGGACTAAGATGCAAGCAAGTTCCCTTCCTTCTCCAATCACCATTCTATTCTTCAGAAGGAGCCACTCTTCATGGGTTTTTATGTTATTTTATCACATGCTAGACAATTCTTTGTTTTCATAAGTATATCCTTTTCACATTTAGGATATACCATGTTTATTATGCAACTTGGACCTTTTATGTTATATACTTTAGACCTCTGAACATCAGAAAAGATGTCTCATTCTTTTTAGTGGCCGTATAGTATTTCAGTATACAGAGGTACCCTAAATCATTTAACCAGTCCTGTATCGATGGCTTCCCATATTTGGCCACTTGGTGACTTTTGGCTGTTTGACAATATTCCTTAGAATATGAAGTCCAAATATTAAGCTCAGTCCATCTGCTCCAGTCTTAGTAAATGAGTTGAAGTAACAATTTAAAACAGAGCTTTTCTTGTTATCTCATCTAGATCAAATTTTGCAAGAGAGGCAGTCTCTTCAGTGTCTAGTCTTCTTGATTACCCAATAAAGCAATTACTACTCTCACCTGATTACATAGAAGGTTACAGAGTTGGGTGGAGTGGGCACATTGGAGAGTGTCAGCTTCCCTTCACACTTCCCTTTGGATGACTGTGGAATGACTTTTTCTTTTTTTTTTTTTCGGCCTGGGCTTAAATTAAGTGTGTGGTGATCCATGTGTAGTCGTTAAAATTCAGTAAAGATCTTTCTTCACTATTTGTTTGCTTCTGCAGTTTCAGAACTGTTTGTTAAGCTATGTGAATAATTTCCCAAGGATATTTATCGTGTGGAGGGAAATCATCATTGAGAAAACATACTGTTTATTGTAGCTGCTGGTAACTTTTATTGATTGTCAGCTTTGTTTAATGAAAGAGATGATATTCATCCACTCAGCATATGTGTTCTTGTGTCCTTAGCATGTGCCCACCAGCTCTGACGACTTTCCTCCACCCCTTCTCCCATCTTCAAAGTCTGTGCATTGTTTTGATTGTGTATAAATTAGGCAGTTTTGAAGTGCATATTAAAGGGAAAACACTCTCTGTTTTCCTGAGAGCACGTGCCTCAACTTTCAACTTTCTCACAATATCTTTGTATGGCTTCTTAGCACCCAGAAATGACATCCTTATACAGTTCTTCCCAGGTCATACTGGGATTTCTGGAAGTGACTTGGAACTCAATTGCCAAAGGAGACTGTTAACTCAACAGGTATCAGAACAATTTCCTGGTGTCTCAGTATTTTCCCAAAGCTCGATAGACATATTGCAGAGATGCCAATTTGTTCAGAACTGGTCATCATTGTCCTATGAGCTGTGTGTACTTATGTTCTAGTATCTTGTAACAATCTCAGAAAAACCCATTTTCCTTTTCCTTTTCCAGTGGGCATTTACTTCCAAAGTAATGGTAACTTTATTTCACTGGGGCTGATACCAGCATACTGGTAATCATTTGGCAGTTCTCAGAATTATTGATTTCCTTTCCAGCTGTTTACAATGAATATTTAGTGATGTTTGAAGGAATCAGGTTTCAATTACATAAACTTTTGGGAGGTGTGGGCAGGAAATAATTAGAATCTTATCTCATAGGACTATTGTCAACATTGAGACCTCAATTTCACAAAATTCCTTGATAAAATCTTAACTTGGTCCTGGAAGGACCATTCTTGCCTCTTATAAATTCATACAATCACTGTGTTTTCACATGGTTCTATAAGCAGTGTGGCGACATTTTTATTGATTGATAAGGAGTCCCTGGCGTGTTGAAGAGGGTTGATAAATGGAATATTTCACCTTCTAAAGATGGAAACTCAGGAGCATGTACTTGAGAGAAAATTGCTGGAAACCAACTTTAAAGTTGTTGTAGCCAAACAGCCAGTGTCCAGGCAAGTATGGATTATGCATACTTTTTTTTGTGATGCCCTTATCATTTCTGATCCACAAGAGAAGTATAATTGAAACAGAGCGAAATAAAAGAAAAAAATAATAGAACTTCCCAACTTCTCTTCTTACTGGCGCCGTGACCATTTGAAGAACTTCCAACAGAATGGCTTTAGCAAACCAGAAATTCTCCAAAAATCGCTACTTGGGACATGTAGAATTTAAAACAAAACAAAATATTTTTGTAAAGTTTATCACCTTTGTCATCCCAATAGCTGGTGCCTGCGGCCTTGGGAATATTCTCCCTCTCTGTTTCATCAAGGTTACATCTAACATTACATTGAAGTTTTTAGATTTGTTGGTTGACATAGAACAACTTTTAAATGGGCCATTTTGGTGGGTCTACAAATCAATATAATATTGACAGTGAAGCAGTCGGCGTGGGTTTCAAGTATGCACAAAGTGAGCTGTAATTTTAAATAAAAGAATCATTACAGTGACTAATGGGTTATTCAGGTGCATACTTAGAGTTTTAATAGGGCTGTTGAGAAGGCTTGTAGACTTTCTAGTTTCAATAAAATACTGATATCTGCATGATGCACTTGTGAAAGTTCAGTATCCATGTGAAACTTCCTATAGGCTCCCAAAACTTGGATGCACGTGGAAATAATAGCCACCATTTATTGAGCATCTTCCATGTGCTGAGCATTTGGCTAAATACTTTAGCGACTTTACAGTTACTACTTCCAATTCTGGAAGGATTTCTGTGCATTCACGTATATAGGGGTGTGTGTGTGTCTAGCTACAAATACAGTTTTTAATTTTAACATAAATGGTGATACATATTTATTGTTATACAACTTGATTTCTTTCTTTCTTTTCTTTTTTCCTCTGAATATGTTAGATCTTTCCATGTCACTATCCATGGACCTAGCCCATTTTTTGAACCTGGGCATAGGTTTCTGTAGCACTAGTTCTCAGACTTAGCTACACATTGGAATCAGCTGCGGAGTTTGAAAAAATACCCATGCCTGGGCCCCTAACACCAGAGATTGTGATATAATTGGTATGGGATAAGGCCTGGGCATGGGAGTCTGAGAACCTGTGTTTTATACTTTGGGTGCACCTACATTTGTTAAAACATTTCCCTGTTGAAGGACACTTAGACATTCTCTATTATGAATAAGGAATCCTGTTTTCTTTCTGTTACAGCATTGTAGTGAACATCCTTGTTAATATATCTCTGTGCCTGTGTGTGAGGATATCTGTAGGTTAATCCCTCGATATGGAATCTAAGAATTTTTAGGTGTGGATTAAAGGGCCAGTCCATTAAAAACAACAATAGACACTGCAGGATGGCCCTCCGCTGAGCTGATACAATTGACTTTCCCATCCACAGCTTATTAGATTGCCCGTTGTGGGGCTGAGGTTTTTTTCTTTTTTCTGGTCTTCTCCGCCACCCCTTTTCTTTCATCCCCTCTCTCCCCCCAGTGTTAAAAATAAAAGTTTGTTCTGACTTTGGAGGGTTGTGTATCTAAGTGCTCATGGAGGTTCCCAACATGAAGGGAGACTGAGGAAATTCCATGTCAAAGTTTTATTTCTATAGGTCATTGTAGTGCAGTCTTTGGAAATTAGTTTTATAGGCTGCCCTGACAAAGCAATGCCTCCACTTCTAATCATTAGAGGGAGTGTGCCTCTCTCATCAAGGGCTGGGGCAGTGCTGACTGCAGAGCAGCACCACGAGAGCCACACAACGCCTGAAGCAGGTGGAGGCTGGAGTGCCTCTTTACCGCCTCTTTCTGCACCTGAGCTTGCATTCCGCCGAAGCTTCTACTGTCTTCCCATAAACCTCTCTTGAAGATTTATGATGTAAAATTTGTAGGTAGGATTTTTATGAAGGTCAGGGTGCTTCTTTTGAAGGGAGTTCCAGCTTTCATA